TGTCCTGAGCCATTTTATTACTTAGTAATTCACTCTCACGAGGTCCTTGTATAACTCTTCACGGTACCTCATGCATTTGTGACCCTGAATGCCTTAACATCAGCAGCAAGCTTCGTCAGCCCGTTTTCAATTCTTTTTCAAGATTATTTCTGAATATGCTGAAGTGAGCAGACCCCCCTCAGGTCCCTGTGGGTTCCATTCCAGTCCTCCCTGCACTCAGGAGCTGCCTGTTGAGAGCTGCTCTTTGAGAATCCTTTCACCGGGTATTTATCTATTTCCAGCCTTTTCTGTTGATCCCCTGGTTTAGCTGCATTCCTGCAAGAAACTCGCGTGACAGACCCTTTTGAAATCCGGGCAGACAATACCACATGCTTATCAACCCCTCTCAGGGCTGTAATGGATTTATGAAGCATTCCTTTATTCCAGGAAAACCAACCTTTTTTTTCTTCCCAGTATTTCAGATGTATCCAACTCTGCACTGATGGGATTCTTCATTACAATTTCAGTTTGCCCAGGAGGGACTTCAGATTTCAGGGCCTGTCTTAACCTCAAACCCTTTCCATTTGTCACCTTGAAGCTCTCAGACACCGAGGCTGTTACACACAGTGATTACATGCTACAATTAAGTAATTAAACTGTTTCACCTCTGAGTTCTCACTGAGCACTTGGGTGAAGCATCTCAGCCTGGTGAATTTGCACTCTCTAGTTTGGCTATTTATTCCTCAACTTCTTCTGCTGACACTTGACCATGTGCCAGGTCCAATGCCACATCCATATAAAGATAACTTTTGGCACAGGAACGTCTCCAAGCTTTTCCTCACTGACTACAGATACAAAATATTCATTGTTTTTCTGTTCTGACCTTATCTCCTACGAATGCTTCTCCTGCACCGTGGCCAGCTTCTGACTCTCCAGCCTCTCCAGCTTGACGTGTTCAAAGAAGTATTTATTATTGTTTGCCTCTCCCTTTTGCAGGTTGCTGCTGTGACTGGTTTTGGCTTGCCTTATTTCTCCTTTTTTTGCATTTAAATTGTCAGGATACGCATTTTTTGCCGGTTTAGACAAAAATGGCTCTTCTAAACATAAAAAGACTGGTTCCTTAAAGTCTGAGAATCAGAACCTGATCTAAGACCCAGTCTTAATCAGGTCTAAAGCTCTGGGTTTCCCACTAGACAGAGATGTGCTATTTGGTTTGACACCAGATTTTCAAGTGTGTTACATTCATATGGACAACACCAAGCACTGGCTGGGATGGATTTTGCCTGGCTTGGCCCTCAGGGCATTGCACCTTCAGCAGCGGAAGGAGGGAACATTCCTCGGAGCAGCTGTGATTATTCTGGGAGCTGTTTTGGGGTGAGCCCCCCTGGGATGACATGAGCTCAGCAGGCAGAGCCCCACAAGTGGAGGGACTGTGATGTTCCCTGCCTATGTGCATATGTCTGGAAGGCCTGTTGCCATGGAGAAGTGATGGGAACTGTCTGCCTGGCTCGCCTGACTTTTTTCCTAGCACGAAGCAAAGGCATCTCTCCAGCTGTAATGAGCTGGGGGCCTGCTGCCTCTCTTCTGTGCCACACTGGGGTAAACAAGACCCCCAAACACCACAAAAGGCAGGGAGGAAACTCTAAATGAAGGTAGGGAAGGAGCAGAGAGCAAGAGTGGAAGCTGCAGGGAGATGGGCCAATGCTTGTGGAGTGATGGAGCAGGGGGCACACAGACCAAAATAGGAAATTCCCATCAGATGTATGGGAATCTTTCCCTGTGAGAGTGGGGCAGCCTTGGGACATAGACCAGAGCACTGGTGGCATCTCCATCCTTGGAGGTCTTCAAAACCCATCAGGTTGAGCCCTGAGCGGCCAATGTGCCTTCGAAATGAGCCCTGCACTGGGCTGGACCCTCCCCAGCCTCAAAGAGGGAGACTTTGGTGGGGAATGGGCAAGGGAAGGTTGGAGAGAGGCTCCGAGAGGCACAAGTGTGGCAGAGAGCGGTTTGAAAACAGGATGAAGATGGAGGCATCCCTGCTTTTCAATTTTGGGAACTGGCAGTGCTGGGCACAGCTTCGTGGAGACTGTAACTGCTTGCACGGCTCAAGTTCTCCACAGCTTTTCTTTAAGTTGTTCCCTCAAAACAGATGGATTTTCTCTCGTTTTCTGTTGTAGGAACTCTTTGTTGACATGACTGTGCGACAAAAACTAGGGCGGGGGATAGTCATGAGGAGAAGTTTAATGGGAGTCATTCTCTGTGGGAAGGGATCCAATGCTGGGTTTTGTTTTGTACCTGTAAAATGTCACTGTGAGCAACTTTGGGGTGTTTCCAGGTAGATCTGGTGGGGATCGTGTCAGGGATAGAGCAGATCTCTCTGTTAGTTTGGAGGGGGTGTATGTATTTTTAAGGAATAGCATTTGCCTCAACTGGTAAATTATTTAAACATAGAAATAAAGAACATTTCCCACCTTCTAGTTACATATCTTTTCCCCCATCTTTTGACCGTGTGTTCACCCCCAGACCTCTGTCTCTGTGTTTCTATGACATGAAGCAAGGCTGGGCATCAGATCCGATGAACGTGCATCAGCTCTACCGCCCTTGACTCCAACACACAGAAACGAGGTGCACCTGCCCAAAAGTCTGTTCACCACGATGGGATGGAGATGGTAATGTTTAAAGAAGTCCCACCACTCAGTTCAGTGCTGGGTAACAGCAGAGCTGTGTTCATCCTCTCCTTTGGGCAGCTGCTCTAAGCTAAAAAACAGGGAGATGTCTTTATTTTGCACATAGGGCACTTTTTCTGCTCCCAGCTTGGGTCTCAGCTAAGACACAGATCCAGAATTTTGTTTTTCAGAGTGAGTTCCCCGGTGTGTGATAAAGTTCCGCCTGATGATGTGTTTAGAACCTGCTCCTTGTGTCCACACGCACACGGGGAGTTGGGTACCTGATCCATTCTTTTTCTGCTCTCTATACAATTTACTTTATTTTTCAATGTGTAGATTAATAGACTAAATACTTAGACTTAATTTGTTCAAATCTTCTTATGTTTTCTTACAAATTTGACTTTGGAGTCTATGGAGAAAGAGGATTGAAGCTTTTCCCAGCCTTTTGGTCTCTCCAGGACAGTGAAACATGAGCTTATGATACAACCTTTCCTCAGGTAGCGATAAGACGAGGTGTGTCCGTCACTCCCTCCTTCAGCTGCCTCTTTTCACAAAGCCTGTAGGAACTTTAATTATCTATAAAACTTCTACTGCTCTGTCAAATACTCTTGAATGAGCTGGCTCTGAATTCCTGGGATTCATGCACCTTGCAGAGTCAGGAGGACTGTCCAAGTGCTTTTGCTGAACATATTGTATGAATAATATTTAAGAATTTGCTGCCCCTACTCACTCAGGTGCCCTGAAAGCAGATTTATAAAATACTTTCCCAAGGAAAAATACTTTTCCGAACCTTCCTAGGGATCAAAACCTACACCCATGGAATTGATCTGAGGGCTGGAACCCCTCTGCTGTAAAGAAAGGCTGAAGGCGTTGGGATTGTTCAGGCAGAGAAGAGATGGCTCTGGGGAGACCTTCCTGCAGCCTTTCAATATATGAAGGGGCTTACAAGAAAGATGGTGGGAGACTTTTAACCAGTGACAGGACAAGGGGAAAAGAAAGAGATTTAGATTGTGCAGTAAGAACTTTTTTTGTAAGATGAAGGTGGTGAGACCCTGGCACAGGTTGCCCAGAGAAGTTGTGGTTGCCCCATCCCTGGAATTGCTCAAGGCCAGGTTGGATGGGGCTTGGAGGAACCTGGTTTGGTGGAACGTGGACTAAGTGATCTTTGAAAGTTCCTTCCAACCCAGGCAGTTCTGTGATGGTCTGAATTGAAAACCCTCTGAGGCTTGACTGACTGAGTGGTTGATCAGCTCCTTGTGTTGGGTTTGTTTTCAAACATTCCGTGACCTCAAGGCAGGTGTTTCTTCTGTCAGATGACACTGGGGACAAGGAGGTATCTTGATGCCCAGCTCTGCCTCAAGGCTCTGCTGCCTCCAGTCACCTCTGGGAACTGCTGTGCTGTCGGGGAGCCCACTCTGGGATGGTGGTGATGAGTGGTGACATGCTCAGGGGACAAAGCCAGTGGTGGAGAATGGGTGTTTGTGTCAGTCCTTCAGAGCTGTCATGCCCAAAACCCAACGGCCCAACCTTCGTGAGCAATGCGACTCCCCTGCACCCACCCCTGCCCTGCCACCAACACAGCGCCTAGCTGTGGAAAGTAAACCATGTGTAAAACCTTCCACCCAATCTGTCAAAGGCAGGCTGCAGTTTTATGTCAAAACGACTGATTTTTTTTTTGCAGGTTGCACATCTGTTTCCTGACAGGAGCTTGGAGGGAGCATCTCCTGGGCCTCCCCTCGCAGCTGTGTCTGCTGGCTGATGGCTGGATGTTCACCTCAGGTAGAATCGTGGAATCACAGAGTATCCTGAGCTGGAAGGGACCCACCAGGATCATCCAGTCCAACTCACAGGACACCCCAACAATCCCACCCTGTCCCTCAGAGCCTTGTCCAAACCCTCCTGGAGCTCTGGCAGCCTTGGGGCTGTGCCCACTGCCCTGGGGAGCCTGGTCAGTGCCAACCACCCTCTGGGGGAAGAACCTTTTGCTGAGATCCAACCTGACCCTGCCCTGACACAGTTCCAGCCATTCCCTGGGTCCTGTCCCTGCTCACTGGGTGCAGAGATCGGAGCTGCCCCTCATGAGGAAGGCGCAGCCCCCTGATGTTCCCCCTCAGCGTCCGTCCCCCATCTGCGGGCTCGCACCGAGGAGCGCGGGCACAGCCGCGCACCGCGGGGGCCTCCGGGCCGGGGGTCTCTCCCTCAGGCGGGGCCGACGCCCCCTCCCCATGATGTCAGGGCACGGAGGAGGCGCCGCCGGCCAAATATAGCGGCGCTTCCTGGGCGGTGGGGCGGGCTCGTCCCTTCCCTCCTCCTTCCCTCCCTCCGTGCCTCCTCCCCTGCCTCCTGCCGCAGTCAATGGGGCGGCAGCGGCCGCGGCGGAGCGCAGGGCCGGCGGGGCCGGCGGGGCGGGGGGCGGCATGGCGGGGCGCTGAGGCGGCGCGGCGGCGGCGAGGGGCGCGCCCCGGCATGGGCAGCCGCGGGGCCCGGCGATGAGCGCTCCCCCGGCCGCTCCCGCTCCCCCCCGCGCGAATATGGGCACAGCCGTGTCCAAAAGGAAGACGCTGAGGAACGAGGCCATGTCGTCCGTGGCGGCCAAAGTGAGGTGGGTGCCCTCGGGGGGGTCCCCGCGGTGCCGGGACCCCGCGCGCCCCCGGCCGCCCCGGGGGCTCTGCGGGGCCGGGGGGACTCGAGAGCCTCAGGGCGAGCCAAGGCACCGGCTGCGGGCACGATCGGGGTTTTGTCCCCCAGGGCCATCGCGGGGTTGGGGAATGGCAGCCCTGCCGGTGGGTCCCCCTCGCTGGCTGCCCCGAGCCCCCCAGAACCCGCCGCGCTCCGGCGGTGACTCCGCTCCCGCTGCACCCGGCGCTCCCTCAGCCTCGGAGAGGTGACTTCTCTCGGAGGTGCCCCCGCCACCGGCCCGGCGACAGCGCCCGCAGGTTTTATTTGCTGGGTTGGCGAGGAGCGTGGATTTGTTAGGGATGTGTCTTTCTGATCTCCGGGAATTGGGAGCGTGGTCACTTCGCTCGGTGGGTTCTCCTCGGCTGAAATGCCGTCTGCGTGTCCGAGGGCAAAGTCAGCAGCTGCCTTTTCACTTTGAATGGGAAAACTGTCGTGTGAAAATCTGCACCCACCTCGTCTGCCCTCTCCGGCAGCGTCCCAAGCCACTGCATGGACCAGTTAAAGGATTTGGGTTCTGTATTGTGCCTGTTCTGCTTTTATATTGCTTGTCCTACAGTGTAGCGTTTCGCTCGCCGACTAGTCCCACTGCTTTTCAGTATCAAACATCCTAGAAAATATATTTGCTGCTTGAATTTATTGGGGTTTAAAAAGCTGTCAGAGATGAGGTTTGCTACAGTGCCCAGGTAGGTGGAGAGGACCTTCTCCCACGCTGCAGTGCCAGTGTCACGGAAATCATCCGGCAACTATTTGGGGGCATTGGCGCAGCTTTTTAGCTGCTCCTACAGCACAGCTGTGCCAAGGGGTAGGTCTGTCGCTGCTACATCTAGACCAGCTCCTTGCTGCTGGGAAAAAAATGGGGAGAAATAAACTTTTCGGCTGCATTATGTAACACCTTCTTTGTGTCAGACAGAAATTGCATTAGAATAACCTGGAGTCACGTGTAGGACGCGATCCGTGTTGCTGAGAGATCTCAGTCACCTCTCCGTGTAACTCAGCATTATGGCATCTCTGCTGTGCCGGGAGGAAAGAGAAGTCTTATGGCTTGAAGGGAAGAAGATTCAGAGCTGTCTGTATATTGCCATCTGTTTGAGTTGTAAAGAAATCCATCCTTCAAAGTCTGGAGTGTCTCTTAGAGAAAGCTCCCCGGGCAGAGCCTGCAACTTTTCCCCGTGTCTTGGTGCACTCTGCCCATAAACCAGTAATGGAAACGTGGGTGCTTTCAGTGGCATCCAGAGATTTGGAAGTGGGATTCTTTTTGGTGATGTCAGCCAGGTGGATGTGCAGAAATGACATGTGAAGCACCATAACTGCTGTGATGGGGTTCTGGGATTGGGATTTAGACAGTCACACAAACAACATATTCGGTAATTGGTAAGATTTCAAGTGGTTGTGTGGGTGTTTGGGAGCGACTAATGTGTTTTGAACATAATGACTTGTTAGCCTACACCAAGGTGGGCAGATGCTACTCGGGTAGTATCAATCGTGTGGAGACTGGGAGGTGCCTCTGGGGTTCTGGTTTGCTACATACCTGCTATAACTACTGACAAGCTGCAGGTACAGTTATGTGGGAGTTCTGAGGAGTCTCTTACTGGTGTGAATTGAGGTGGCTTGACTAAGAAAGTTAGCTGGACTTGGGCTGGGAAACATAAAGTCCTTGAGGAGTGTCTGGTCACGTAGACCATGACACAGGACAGATGTTTTTATGTGTCTCCCTGTTGGTGCCCTGTGCTAGAAATGCCTAATCCAAAAAGTCTTAGAGGAGGGCAGAGAACTTGCTGAGGGGCTCCCTGCAGTGCCTCTTTGCATGGAGAAGGTGCTGTCCATGTGCCTCCATCCTGCCCCTCCATGCACAGCTCAGCCCCTGCCTCCTGTGGGCTCTGCCACCCTTAGAAGGTTCACCGTGGTGATGACCCACCTGCTGAAAGGTTTCCTCTAGGCTTCCCAGAGCACATCACACACAGCCCCTCTGCTCTGCCCTGGATCCTCCTCCATGTATCCCATGTGTCCTTATCTACAGCAAAGACTCTGCAGGACACTGGATAAGGCTACAGAGACTGTTCTGTCCATCCCACGAGGGCTGGGGACTTGGGTCACCTGTATGGTAGCACTGCTGCAATGATTAGGTGCCCTGTGGGTATAGGCAGCTGTAGAATCCTGCTCCTGTGCTGCAGAAAGAGATGCCCTGGGATTGTTTCTCTGTATCTCCTGAGCTCTGCCCCGTTCATATTTCTCACAACTTTTTCTTTGGAGAGAAAAATCATCTCCTGAATTTCGCTGCAAGTCCAAGGGCCACTGATGTACATTTATTATGAATGGATGGAATCTGTGTGCACACTTGACTATCACTGAGCATGGGTTGTTTGCTGGCATGAATAATGGGATCTGAGCAGAAGGTGCAGGCTCCCTAGATTCTTAACTTAAAACCTCTGCAGAGCAACTCAGGGAAGTCTCCTGTCCCAGGAGAATTAATTAAGCTCCACACGGCTTGTTGTGTACTAGGTCTTTTAAACAGCTTCTTACAAACTAACGACAGTGTTGCTCTGCCAGCGTTGTGGGGAACGTCCCCAGTGCTGCTGGCTTGGCTCTCTGTAGTCGTGCTCTCCCGAGGGAGTCGCAGTGACCTGTGCTGATTCCGTGCACACACCCAGGCAGTGGCTGTGCTTGGAGCTGCTGCTCTGATCTCATCTGAAGTGCTGGGCTGTGAGATCTCCCTGTCAGACTGTTTCCTCCCTGTGAGTGCATTTATTGCCCTGTGTGCAGCTCCTGGGGCCCGAGTGCTGAAGGCAGGGATGACGCAGTTGTCCTTGAGCCGTGACCTTGGTGCTGCCCCTCCGCTGACGGTGCCGGGGCTGCTGAACCTTGGGCTCCTGCACGTTCCCCTCAGGGCCAGGGGGTGTCTGACCCACGCTCCTTGGCTTCCCCAGCACACTTCCAAGGGTGCACATGAACCCTTAGAAATGGGCTCTCTTTGCCCTTGCTGCCCTGGCACCTGCAGAAAAACACTGGCACCCCAAATGGGGCAGCAAAGGAAGTCTTTCCCTACAGCTCTGCTTTGTATTGTGCTGTTCTTTGGGAGAGCGTGACAGCGCGAGCAAACAGACGTGAGGCTCTTGCTGGGTGTTCCAGAACCATCTCTCCTTGCTGTAGTTAGCACAGGAAATATTTGAGTTGAGAGTGTGGTTCATCTTTGCCCAATTTCAGGACTTTGCCATCTAGTCCAAGATACCCCAAAAAGAGATAAGGATTTGGTCTCCCTCTCTACCGATTGGAGAGAGCTGGAGAACGGCTTTGAACACGGCATTCGTTGCTGTAAAAGGGTAAGTTTTGCACTGACAAAATGCAGAGGTACTTGAACATGTTCCTTATCCCAGGTTTCTTGCTGTGTGAGAGATTTTTGGTTTAGATTGGGGGGTTCTTCTTGGAGTCTAGATTCTTTTTTCTGCCTGTGAATGTTCTGGTGAGTGGTATGAACTCTCTCATGCTTTGATTGCCTTTTTCTTTCAACTTCTTCCTGCTTTTCCTCTCTCCTCCTGTCCAAACTTCGTGACTAAATTACTCCAAGACTGTGGGGTCTTTGACTTTTCGATCCATTGCTGATGTCCAATTTCCCTTTCTTGAGAGTGAGAATTTTAAAATTAAATTTTTCCAGCTCCCATCTCTTTACAAAGATATTTCAGAAAACTAATTTTCGTCAGGGTATTGTTACTATTAGGCTTAAATAACGTAGGTGTCAACAGTCTTTAATGACTGAGCTGTTAACTGTGGATATGCTGGAGGTGTTCCCTTCTCTGCCTGGTGACAAGAGCAGGATTGCTGCTGTAGGAGGACGTAGGTCCTGATGATGCAGGAGGTCTCTTGTCTCCTGTTTGCCTGAGATGCAGCACTGTCAGGTGCTGTCACAACAGATTCCTGCTGCAACTGCTCTGGGCATTATTTCTGAAGGAGCACAAGAAGGTGGTGGGTGTTCTTTATTTTCTCCATGTAATACTTCTGAACAGTCCAGGTTTTGCTTAGCTTGCTGCTGTGCTCTCAGTGGAGTTATCTGAGGTCTTTCCTGTCTCTCTGAGTGTTTCAATCCACATTTCTTCGCTCAGTTCAGTGTCAGTTTGGTGGATTGCATAAATTTACGTGCACCAGTTTCTCATAGCTGCTAGTGTGCATCAAGGCCCCTTTTATCCTGCTGATGTGATTATTTCAGAGACATGAAGGCTATTCTATGCTTATCACATTGTAATTGAGATCTTTGTTATTTGGTGGCTTTGCTCCTTCTAGCACATCTCTGTCTAGACTGTCTGCACTTCTCTGCAGTTCTGATCCAGACCTGAGTCCAGCTCTGATGCACAGTGAGTACTGAAAAATGCCCCCCAAAGGGCAGCTGCCTTTGCTGCCTGTGTTGTGCTGCCCCATCCCGCCCTCCTCACTGCTGAAGCCGTTCTGCTGGAATGCTGGAGGAGAGGCTCCTGATTTCTGGAGCCGTGGCAGGCTGGTCTGTGCTGCTTACACTGGGCAGCACAGCGTGCTAGAGCTGAGGTCCCTGGTCGATGTCCTTCTGTTAAATCAAGCTGTGCTGACTGTGTAACATGCAGGGCTGATCTGCCACTAAAATGATAACCTCTCTCCAGATGAGTCAGGGCTAAACTTGTCATGTCATCAGCTGATCACCTCTCAGTACTACCTGCTCATTTGTATGCAGCTTTGGCAGTGTCACATACTCAGGGTTATAGCTCACCAGCCCGTGCAGCTCTAAGGCACCTTGTACCTCATCTCATTTATGTGAAAAAAGTTTTCTTTTTCATCCCTTGCCAGTTAAATTATCCCAAAGTGTCTCTGCTGAGAGCCCAGTTGAAGAGTTTTGTGTGATGGTGTCATGAGGCTTGAACTCCATGGCTGGTGATAGTGGAGGCAAAGCTGAGCTGAGAGAAAAGTCTGATTGTGTAACTTGTGGCAATAGAGAGTGTAGATTAAAGGGATAGAAAAGAATGGGATGACTAGAGCAGCTACCATCTGTTTGAATTTTGCTCTGGCTTTATTTCGATGAAGCCAGTGGGTAGCCAAGGAGAGGGGAAAACGGCACGGTAACAATATGGGCAGGTGCTGGTAAACTGGGGTGGCTGTGAGCACAGGGAGGGCAGAGAAGGAACACAAAAGGCTTGGCAAGGGGAAAACAGGCATAAGGAGCCATCAGCATGGCCATCAGAGTCCCCTTGGCAAAGGGCACGTGCAGACATCAGTGGGAGATCAGCTGAGGCACAGCCAAGGAGGAGCCGATGGCACTTGGAAAGCAGGGATGTAGAAGGGAACCACTGAGATAATAGGCAAAATAATTAGCCTGAAGTTTGCAGTGTAATTGGCTGGAAACCCCCCGTTGCACATTGTGCCGTGCAGGCGTCACTGCTGTGTTTGCTGTCACGAGAGAGCTGTGACCGTGTGACCAAGTTTGTTTGCTCTTGGCTTGGCCTGTGGGGTCTGAGAGCTGTGGGGGTGGAAAGGCAGGGACAGAACTGCAGGTTCAGCCTGGGCAGGGCAGCAGGGCTTTGGAGCAGCCCTGTGCTCCTCCACTGTGCTTCTGTCCTGCACGAGAGGTCTGGGTATTGCCTGTTCCCTGGGAGCTCTGGCACTTGGGATTGTACCCTCCTACCTTGTGTGCTTGGGGAAACAGGACAGTGAGGTTAGAGACACTGCAGCACCTCTCTGCTTGGGCTCCTGCTCTGAGTGATGTTATTTTCACCGTGGCAAGCATGGAAAGCATTTCACCATGGAGGGTGGCATCACTTCTCTCTGGCTCTGTGTTAGCCAGGTTTCAGTCTGGGTCTTAGGAAGCGTTTGGTACTAGTTTTTTGAGCCTGCGTTGGTTCAGGTTTTCAGAGTGACAAATCAGCTTCAGGCATTGGCAGAGAGATGAATGGAGAGAATGATAGATGATCTTGGAGCTCTTGGAGCTTTTGAACTAGTTACAGACTACATTTTATCATCATATTTCACCATTTTTTGTGTGAATCACTGTGTTCTCTCACTGATAAATTATTACCTGAGAACTTGCTCATTGTTGTTTTATCTACATGGAATAACTGCTGATGCAAAGGAGAAGCTTCAGAGTCTTTCCCCAGGGTGTAAGTGCTCCATTTGTGAATGGTGTTGGTGATGCCTTGCAAGGGCAGACATTTCCTTGGGAAGCCTTGGAGTCCCAGAAGTCTCGGTGTAAGGGATCTTGGGAGTCTCGAGCCCAGGCATCTGTTCACAGCTGGGCTGTTGCCAATGCTTTGGCTGAGCTTTAACCACCTCTGACATGGAGTGCAGGAGTAGCTCAGGAATGCTCCAGCAGCTGCATATCCTGATGTTAGAATCACAGAATCATTTGGGTTGGAAATGACCTCTAAGATCGACGAGTCCAACCGCGAACCAAACGCTGCCACATCCACCACTAAACCATGTCCCCAAGTGCCACATCTGCATGTCTTTTAAATCCCTCCAGGGATGGTGGCTCAACCACTGCCCCAAAGTAGCCACATTCCAGCTCCCAACTCTGCATTTGTGTGTTGTCCTGGGCCCAAGTCCTGCTTTTTGCTCAGACAGAAAGGTTGGTGCAAGGAACATCCATGCGGTGCTTTTCCTCCTGGATGGGTGAACCATGATGGTCGTCCCTTTGTTGTTTGCAGTGGGGATTGTGGGCTGACTGTACAGCTCCTCATGTGACAGAGCCCTTGTGTGACCATCTCTAGGTGTGCTTAGGCACTGATGGAGACAGTTTGGGCAACTGCCACCCCAAATGAGTGTCTAAAGGTACAGCCTGGGACTAGAGAGGTGAGGGTCCGGAAACAAGGAGAAGCTCAGCACTGGATGTTAGTCTGTAAAGATGCAGAAGCTTAAACCTTGCTTCTTGCACATCTCCAGCTGTGCTGCTCCAAAGCATTTTGCATTTGGCTGTGCTGAAATTTAGTCCCAGGGAGATTAAATTACTCTTTCTTCATCGTTCATATCGATCCCGTGTTGCCGGCTGAGGATGACAAATGGACTTCCCACTCCTTCCAGCCCGAGTTGTGCTGGGAGGTGCGTTGTAGCTTTGTTAATTTTTCTCCTTTGGGAGGAGGTGCATAACAGCAGTGGCTACACAAGATGGGGTTTGCTGCTGCATCGGGTAGCAAAGCAGAAGGTTGTTTTGGAGGTCAAGGCCATTTTCCGCTTAGATATTTAGTGTCCCTTAGGAGATTTTTGCAGCAGCTCGAATTGGAGAGGGATGTTGAGGTTGAGCACGTCTGAAGGAGGAGGACAGTGGATGTGATACCTTAATATGGACAATCTTCCCTGTTGCAGCAAGTCTTGACTCCTTCCCAAGAGATGCTAGTGTGCTGGTGGGCTCTGGGTCTGCTGGCTTGGCTTGGCTTGGCTGGCCCAGGAGGTGGGTGGCTGTTTCACCTCCCTCTTTGTGAGGCCCATGGGCAACTCAGCCTGATTGTGAGGCTGCAGCCCTTGGAGAGATTGTTCTGCAAACCTAGGGAAAATGGATGGCTGGGGGAAAGCTGGCATTAGTATTGGCTCTCTTGAGTCACAGGTCTGTTGGGTACAGGAGAACAAGCACTGCAGCAGGACTGTATAAAAGCCCTGGCAATTGAAATCTGGAGATTACTGTATTCCAGGGAATGCGTGCCTTGACCAAGGATTCCTTTCCCGTGTAGGTTGCAAGCAGAGAGCTTTTCCCTGGTTGGAATATTCATAGGTTTGCTCTCTTACGTAGGCCTTGATGTGTTATAAAGGTTGAGCTCCCCCTGCTTCGTTGGTTCTCAATATATTCCAGTAAAATCTCGGTCATCCACGGGACCTCAATCCATCAGAGAACCAGGAACTGCTTTTTGGGGTAGTTGTGGGTGTCTCTCAAATAAGCTTCTCCAGTAATCCAATCACTGACATAGTTGGTGCTCGAGAACTTGGGGTGAAGGTGGTTAAAAGGAGCATTAGCATTCATGTCTAAGCTGTTACAGCTCACGGGTGGGAGCACTCAGGACCTGAGTAGGAGGTTGGAGAGGTGGTTGGCACTGGGGTGGAGATACCTCCTCCTCTGAGCTGCCAGGAGGGGGTTGAAGACAGTGAACCAGTTCCTGTGTGCATCAGAGAAACGAGGCCAAATTTATTGCAGATGCATTTCAGTTTTAGTTTTCAGTTTTAACAGAGAAGGTAAAGACTAATGTAGTCTGGACTTCCAGTCCAGCTCTGTTTCCCCTCTTTGGCCAGGGGAACACTGTGTAACCAGGAAGCCCTCACTGCTATGGCAGCATGTTTGCACTGGTGTCACCTGGGGCTGAGGGATGACAGCTGCAGGAACACAGCAGTCTATTGCTATTGAACTGTGCCTTCTTTCCTTGGCCTTTAACCACTGCCCCTCTCTGTTCTCTCCTTTGCTGTGACACACAGAGCGGCGAGGGCTTTCGGAGAATATCTTTCACAAAACCATCCCGAAGGCAGAAACGGCTCAGGTAAGAGAACTGATGTGCCTTGTTTGTGTCCACGTGTGTGCATGCACCTATTGCTTGATAGCCCTAAATTGAAAGTGCATTTATTTGTCATGAAGGGTTAGTGGGAGATCTCGGTAGGAGAAAAGGCAGTTTGGTGACTCAGTGCTGGGTGGGCTGTAGGGACAAGTTCACTTTCAGTGTGGTAAATGCACCCCTGGAGCTGATGTCCCTGGGAGAAGCTTCAGCTGGGAAGTGACAGCACTGCATGAGGCTTCTGCACTGCTTTGTCACTCCTGGGTCTCGCTTTCGCTGGGGACTAAAATAAGGTGAGTTTTAGTGTGTTCACTGGTGTGCTTAGTGTATGTGCAGCAATCTGTCCTTGATGGCAAAGGTAACAGCTGGATTTATTCCCAGGGTTTGCTTCCACAAGGGGTTAAACTGAGATTTGCCTAGTTGAGGGCATCAGCATGTGCCAGTTAACGTGTCAGTATTTTAGATGCAAGGTATTGTCCCCATCAGCTTATGATGAGTTCTGCTTGATGGGCAAGAGAGCACAAGAGAAACTCACTCCACTTCTAGCAGGGCTCTGTCTTCTCTGTGAGGAAAGAAAATATTCTGCAGACAATACATTCACTAAAAAATCTATAGAAAATCTTGTGGAATCCACAGAAAATCCTATGTGAATAAGTAGCAGATTGTTCTGTAATGTTGAACTGTTTTGCAGGGGATAAAGTTATTAAATAGAACGTGGTGTTATTATTTTAGGTAATTTCTGTGTGTGTTTAAACCTCTTGCTAAAAGAGCAAGCCCAGTCACACTAGTCTTTGGCAGCCAGCTGAATGAGTCCCTGCCTTTTTTCCTGGATCTCTTCTAATGACCTTCAAGTTGTCCTTGGCTGAGTTGTGCTAACACTGTGAATGGAAGGGCTCTAAAACAACGTACTGCAATTTTCTTGGATGTTTTTCAGGCATGAGGAGCTCCAGTGACACTTTACTTACAATATTTGGTCTAAGAACAGCCCGTGGTGGTAGGAAGGGAAGGGTGGGGAAAGGCTGGGGTTTGGTGCAGCTGAGATGAAGTGTCTGTGAGGCAGAGGAGGAAGGGAGGGTTGGGCAGACTGTTCAGAGACAGGCTGGCAGGAGCTTCCCAAGGTGGCAAAACCATCCTTCCATCGTGGCCATTTTTGCAGCTGTTCCTGTCAGCTGGAGTCTTTGCTGGTCCTTTTTTGCAGCCCCCCAGCCCAGCCTGCCTCCCAGAGAGAAGTGTTGGCTCCTGCTCCCTCTCTAATGCCCTCACAGCACCTGTGGGGTCACATTAAGGCCAGGCAGGGAATCTGATGGAGACAAGGGGGAATTGCAGATCTATTCAGGTGCCTGAGGGCTGGGGAGCTCTGCTCAGATCCAAGGAGCAGGAGCCTCTCTGCACTTACAGAGCTGTTGTTTACTCAGCCTTAGGGGTGCTCCTGGTTGCTTGTTCCTCATGGACTGTGGGTAAGGAGAACATGGAAATGGAGCTGATGTGACTTCTGGATAATGTGTTGGGCTCCCCAGAGCAGCACTTCAGCCCTCTCTGTGCTTGTTACACATCCCTAAGCTCTCCAGGGAAGCCTTTTCACCCACTGCCCTTGGTGTGTCAAGCCTGAGATTGTCTTGAATCCAAGTGAATTTAGTTGCCACAGGCAAGAATCAAGCTGTGAGAGGTACACATGGAAATACCACAATACTTATGGGATCCTCAAGTACTCACTTGGAAATAAAAAAATTCCCTAGAAATTACTCTATAAATTCTAAAGAAGGGGAGGAGGGAGAATCGTCATTTTTAAGTCATCTTCTGAAATTCTGCAGTGTATAATTTAACAGAGTCTGTAACACTTCAGTATAAATAACCATGGTAGGAAGGTTGTTATCCTATAAAATATGTTGAGAGTAGGAAATTTGGCTCCCTTTTATTCATCCCACTAGTCCAATCCCAGGGAAGTCATGTCTTTGCTTCCTGCAGAAATTCTGTCACAGGATCACAGCACAAGTTTCTGAAGGCTTCACCTTTGGCTGGGCAGAGTGGTGGAGCTGTAGGATCAGCTGTCTGTTGTGCTTTTTGAGGAGCAGGAAGGTGGCAGAGCCATCAGTGGGACAGTGAAGGCTTAAATGGAGAAGGGAAGGGCAGGATCCTCCTCTTCTGTGCATCTGGGAGCTTGAACCCTCCTCTCTCCCTGCAGAGGGCAGTCCTCATGGAGAAAATGGAGTGCGTGTGTCTCTTTGGGCTGTCAGTTCTTTTGCTGCTTTACCTGTTAATTCAGCCCCAGGAGACCCACCTGGGGGGAGATGGCAGGTGTGCAGATACTGCCCCAACTTGCTCTAGTTCTGCTACATTTTGTTCTCTGAGGATTGTCCATTTTGGTCTAACTTTTTTCATCTTCAGAGGCCCTCGACTCCAAGGAAAGGAAATGGGCTAGTGGCTTTTGTATCCCTCATAAGATCATGTTCTACAACTGATCAAGGAGCTTGTTCTTCAGGGGTAACTTTTATACCCCAGAGTCTGTTTGTGGTGGCTCCTCTGGAGAGCTTGTGTGGCAGAATGTCTCTGAGAAATCGGGGAGTGGTAATGAGAACTGCAGAGGGACTGTGTGTCAGCAGGACGGGCCAGCTGCCACAGCCAGGCATTTTAACCAGGGCTGAGTCACGTGCAAGGCTTTTTTACCTTCTCTTTTCAATACAGTTGCAGTCAGTGTGTGCTCTCTGTGCTTGCTGGGGCAGTGGGTGTGGGATGAACAGCAGCAGGAGGTAGAGAGGTACTGTGGGGTGACATGGAGTGGGAAAAGGTGAGAGAGAACGTTTGTTGTTGGTTGTAACTTCTGATTCTTCCTGATGGGAGGCCCGGGAACTTCATGGCTCACAAATGTTGTGTGACTATCCCTGTGCAACTCTTCAGTGTCTCACTCTGGAGTAGGTTTTTCCAGGTGACTGGGGAGGTACATTTACCTCTCCTCTTGCTTGGAGGTTATGGAAAGGATGATGGCAACACGGTTTTCTTCCCTTTGTTTCCCTTTTGGAACAGGGCAGTTGCCTGGTGATGGGTTACAAGTACTGACAGAGGATGAAAAAATTCTCCCTTTGGGCTCACTGAGACTTTCCCCCCTGATCCTGAAGCTATTTTGAGGAATTAGAAAAAAAAGGGAGTGTTGGACTCTGCTGCAGGTGACAGGACATGGATCTGTTGAGGGAGCTGGTGCTGAGGAGGTGATGGATCTCCTTCTCTCTTCCTGCCTCTATTCATTGCTGGCTTATTCATGCAGGCTGGAGGTCTGGGAGGGTTCCCACGAGGAGCACTCTCCCGTGTTCAGTGTTCACTCTGACTGCAGGGCTGTTGCCAGAGTCCTTGCTGACTTTTGTATCTTTCTGGTACCTTCCAAAGACTTTCCATCTTGTCTGAGGCATGGTTTTAGTGTAGGAGAAAAGGACTGAAATATTGTGCAAGTGTAAAAAGGCTGCAGAGAACAAAGCACAGAAGAAATAACCTCTCAAAGTGTCACCAGAGCTCATGGAATTTTGGACAGTTCCTTTCTCCCAGCTTAGATGTCAGAGGCCCCACGCTGAGATAATGTTTTAGATTTTGTTATCTCCGTGTACTGACACTGTGAGAGGAAAAGGTAGCCAGGGCAGTGACATTAAAAAGGACAGCAAGCAGAGCCTTTGAGAAGCTGCCTCCTGCCTGGGGAAGCAGTGGTGCATGCCAGTGAGCTGGGAGTCAGACACAGTGATCCTTTGAGGAAAGAGAGGGAGCTGTGTGGGTTGTTTTCCTGTTACTTTTTTATCAGGCAGTTTCTGTTTTGCTCAGTGGGGTTGTTGGGAGGGAGCTGCTGCTGCTGGAGTGCAGGGCTGTGGGATGCAGCTCTGGGCTGCCCTGGGATTGACTGCTCTGGGCAGGATGAGCGGGAAAGGCTCTGGAAGCAAGAGAAAGGGAGAGATCCCAGCAGATAAAAGGTGGTGTGGTTTGTGCTGCCACTGCTACCTTGCAGGTTTTGACCCAAATTTGATGTGATTCTTGCAACAACAGCTTGACTACTGGTTTGCATCAGTGCAAACCAAAGGAGTGTTTACCTGAAACTGGAAGACACTTCTTTTTAAGCTCAAAAAAGATCATCTTCACGTCTTTCCTTTGGTTTTGCATCGTGTTTCAGTCATCAGTGCAATGTGTAAGGAGAAGAGGGCACTTGTGAGCCAAATGGCAGTGGGGAGGGGTGGCAGGAACAAAACATGTTTACCCCTGTCCCAGGTGCAGAACCTGCACTGGATCAACCCACTGTGTTTGCAGCCTGGGCTTTGGCTGCCTCTGAAGAGGCTGGGAGTGTGTGTGGAGGAGCAGCCACACACAGAGGAGCTTCCTGGTGCTGCCAGAACTGGCCTGGGGCTGGAGAAACCTCGGGGTGAGGCCTTGCAGGTTCTTCAGGGTAAAGCAACCTGCAAGCTGTGCTTTTTGTGCCTCTGTGAAGTCAAGCTGGAGCTGTGCAGTGCTCTGAGGGACCTGCAGTTTGGCAGTGTTCAGACTGTGGAGCTGCCAGTGGAGCCTGGTGCAGGGTGAGCACCAAGGAGGCCTTTTTCTCTAGAGGGTGTTTGCCCTGTCCCCAGGGTGGACCAGCAATGCACCTGGCCCTGCTCCCAGTGTGTCCCTGTGCTGATGAGGTGGAGGGGGCCTTGAGCAGTGGAGGTGGCCTTTCTAGAAACAGAGGGGGCTGTAGGTGGCCTGAGCTCAGGACAGAGCAGGAATGTGAAATCTCATCTCTGTGGCTTTCAGGCCACTTCCAGCATAAGCCGGAGCAATTATGGTGTGGGTGTATCCTGAAATTTGCCATGGAATATGTTGTTGGCTTATAAAGGGAGTGAAAGCATAGGTCACAGTGTTGCCATGGAGATGCTGAGGCCAGTGATGGAGCTGCCACTTGCTCCTTTGGGTCGTGTCTCACAGGAACAATTTCATCTGTTCACATTAATGTTAGAGGCCAGACTAAAAGGTTACTCACCTAT